GCCTTGGCACAGCATTGGGGCTGGGCTTAGACCTCAAAGGGTGGTGTTGGATCTGGAGGAAACCAAGAGGCTTGGCAAGCTTGCCCACATTTTCTTCTGTTTTGTTGGTTCATACAGCAGAGACAGAACATACCGCGTTTACCTGGGGAAGCACGACCTGAAGAAATATGAACTCCGCTCCATGACTGGTAGGCCAAAGAAGATAATTGTCCATGAGGACTGGGACACCTGGCACATCGTGTAAATCTGCTCTGACCTGCTGGCTTGGACTTTAGTTTCACTCACAATTTTTTATTATGTTCTGGCCTGGCTGGTTGTTCCCTGCTGAATGGGATTTGGTGCACTATTGATCGCCAAAGAACGCATTTTAACAGAGAAGGAAGGCACTTCCAGTGTAATGTCAAATGCCTGGCTGAGGGGGTTGCTCCATGATTCCAGGTTTTGATTTGTTTGCTTGGTGCCATATTACACCCTGATCATGGGGACAATGCAAGTTTAAGATACTAAGGTCTGTATGCACTGAATAGAGCTCAAGGATGCCCACATGATGCAGGACCCCATGTCTCCCTTCCAAAAGGGGCTCGGGGGCCTGGATCCCAGCAGCTGTAGCCAAGACACACAGTTCTTCTTGGCCACATCAGTTCTGTAATGCTGAGAGAGGCGCCTAGTGCCCCGGCACATTTGTGGAGATGCTGCTCCTGCTGCATCTTCTTCGTGGTAGAAAGCACATGTCTGCATTTGGGGCTGATGAAAGACCCTGATCCTGCAGCCTCCATGCAGTGCTGACTCCCACTAAAACCAGTTTTGCATGGAAAGACTGAGCCAGGCCCCATCACCAGTATAATCTACAGAAGGGAGCAACTGCAGAGAGAGAGATCCAGCGGAGGTGATACTTGCCAGGTACTGCACAGTGATCTCCAGTTGCGATTAACTTCGTCCCCTCTTCATTCCTCTTTGTTCTGTGTTTCAGCAACGACAGCGCCCTGATCAAACTGGCTCAGCCAGTGAAACTGGGCAAGACAATCCAGGTACCCACCCTGGGTACCACCCTATCCCAAGGCTTCCCCTGCTTTGTCACTGGACGGGGCGAATCAGCAGTAAGTGGAGCAGCCTCTCCTAGGATCAAGGTTCCAGTGCGTGCAACCTATGTTCCTTAACACCCACATACTTCACTTCAGGGATGGTACAGATGGCACACTGTCCTGTGCTGATGGCCAAAAGGACTGGGAACGACTTTGGTAGAGGAAGCGGGGCATACCGCCCCAGATGAACCAGGCTCCTCAACAACAAATCGGCAGATCTGGCGGATTCTGGCTCTTCCATGGGAGCTAGAGCAGTTCTTGGTTGCTCAAGGAAAGCTAAGAAATCACAGAGAGGTTTTCCTTGGTTCGGATCAGAGCTTGAAGCAGGCCAGGCCTCCAGCACTATCTAAACAGATAGCAGAGATAGTGGGGCAGATTTTTAAAGGTACTCAGTGCCCAACTCTCACTGATTTCAGTAGACCTTTGTGCCTAGCTACGTATCACAGTCTGCCTCATGGTCTCTGGTTTGAAGAACTTACCGTTCTTCTTTTGTACTGTTCAGTTCAGGATTTGGGCATAAGTAAAATAAAGGGGAGAGAAACAAGCAAGGATATTCTGTCACATCAGCAACCTTGGCTACACACGGCAATTGCTCGAGCTTGGTCTCTGGGAGATGTAAAAATCAAAGGATCTCCTGTTCCACTGGTCTGCAACTTCAGGCCCCAGAAGGGATCTTTCTATTCAGCACAGTGCAACACATTCACCAGCTTGCCTTGTGACCTGTGCTTGCTAAACCGCATCTTCGTTTCCTGGGGTCTCCATTCTGGCAACCAAAGGAAGTTGGTGGTTACAAGCTGGGATAAAACGTGGTGATAAAGGTGCGATTCCAAGCTGGAATCAAAGTCTGCTTCTTCCTTTCACTTCTGTGTTTAAAGGAGCCATGCAATTTTCCCTGGGGAGTCCAGATATGCAGCAAGTATAGCAACATTCTCCAAGAGAAAACGCGCCCAAACAAGCATGCTGACACCTCCATTACTGCCTTCGGTTGGGTGTAACCCCAGCACTCCTTTGGAAATGCTCCAGGGCAGCTGCTGCATCCACAAAGATATAGTAACCCTGCCCTGGCTGTGCACCTCTCTGACAGAGGCAATGGCTGGGATTAACTCAGTCCCACACCTGCCAGAACCCAGCCCCCACCTTCCCTTACCCCTCCGCAGCTGGGCACTCACCTATGGGAATACATACAGACCAGACAAGAGCCCTGTCTCGCTCCCACCCCAGGTTTGCAGCCCACTCTGATGCATCCAGAGCTCTCCCCAGCTGTACTGTCCTCTTTTGTGCATTTTTGGATGTCATGTTATGCCACATCAGGAGTATACATCAGGCACTACTATTATGGACATGTTATTGAACAGTTGTAATGGCATGGGATATTGGAGTGGCAGGACCACCTCTCCTGGCCATTACCTGGGCCCCATTGTGTTGCCTCATTTGGCCTCTCAGGGTCCCACCCTGTACCTCATCTGCCATGCCTTGATGTTATAAAACTGACAAGGAGGCAGGTCCCAGAGGACACAGTGCGCTTTGGATGGTAGACCCTTGTCTGGGTTCAGGCCTTGGCCTTGTCCCACTTTCCTCTGGCTGAGCCCCGCAGCTGGGGGTCCACTGTTTCAGGACCACATGCCCCTCTATTCTCAAAAAGAGCTTCTCAGCTTAGGAGCCAAAGCCCCATGGACTTCTCCATCCCTACAGCCAGAACCTGGTCCTCCAGTAAAGCAAACACACGAGCGTCCGCTCCAAACCCAAAGGTTCCCCTCCTGTGGACTAATCTTGCCCTACACAAGCCCTTGCCCAAAGTGCCCGAGGTACTTCAGGATGCAAGGTTTCCTTTGCTGTTGCTGCATCTCTGAGCCCTTCCTCTGTGCTCCTGGCCTGACTCCTGCCTCCAGCTCTGCCCCCTCCACCTCCTGTGGCCAGACTGGTGCTTATAAGGCCCTTCCCAGGTCACTAGATCCTCCACTTCCACCCCAGGCCTGTTTGCCGCTGCTTGCTCCTGGGGTGGGTGGCCGTTTTGTGCGATGGCTCCCTGCCTGCATGGGCTCATCTCAGGGGTTGGGGAGGGCCAGCCCCCCTAGGCTCCTTCCCTTATTTAGTAATGAGGCAGGGGCTCTGTTATGCCATGTATAAATAGTGGAAGTAATCTACACATTTTCCTTGCCAATCAGCATTAGTTAGCCGGATTCAAGCTCGCGAGAGAGCAAACAGCTGCTCTGACTGACATCCAGGTCCCTCGGTGGTTCCCAGTAGAAGGAAGGTCCCTCTGGAGGGGTGGCTGTGGCCCCTTGAGGTTCATCTTATGTAAAGCCTCCAGTTATACTGCACAGAGTTGCACCAAAGGAGGGTCAGTAAGCTTCTCCACCCACGAGTTGCCAAAAGACAAAATCAGAGGTGGGCCCATGGGCGACGTTTCAGACAGCTAAACTATTTGGATGCCTCAGTCCTATCTGCAAAAGGGCCTTATGGTGCATAGGAGCTTGGGAGGTTTTGAAAGTCCATGGGATTTTGGTTCCTAAGCTGAGAGGCTCCTTTTGAGAATAGAGCCCCATACCCTCAAGTCACTTGGTGCCAGTCCCAGCCCTCGCGGTAGGCAGCGTGGGTGACTGCACAAGGTGCCGTGGTTAGCAGGGTGCCACACACACATCCACGTGAGCAGCCCACGCTCACAGCAGTGCTCTCTCCCCTGCCTCACCACAGACAGGAGGACTGGAGATCAGTTCTGAACCGGGAGAGGCTTTTAGTCCAATTTCCACATCCCTGACATGGTGGCAGCTCGACGAGGTGGTCTCAGCCACTTATGCGGGAGGACGTAGAGGCGAGAGAGCTGCTCACCTCTCAACATGATTATTATTTTCAAAGGAATGCAAGTAATTTGCCTTTTCTTTCATCTGGACTTGTGGATCTCAGACAGCATAGAAATCTGGCGACCCACAAGATTCCCGCAGGGCAATCCCAGTGAAGGCAGTAACATCCCGTCCAACTTGGGCACCAACAGAGCTGTAACTGGAGTCCTGCAAGTGTGACGAGCCACAAACTCCTGCCAACAATGCCAGGGGAAATGAATAAATACAAATGACTTGAACCTCGGTTTCACCCTCAGAAATCAAGATAACCGTGCAACAGCCAGCCCTTCCCTGGAACATTTTGAGGCTGGCCACGAGCACCATCTAATCACCAGGTCTGAAACTCCCAGGCTCTTTGGACAATTTCCAGGCTGGAAGGGACAGCTCAGCTCTGCTTTCCTAAAGGAGGTGCTTTGAGCTCCATACATTTCACTCTGGACAGGGCTGGAGATGTCCTTTTTTTACTGAAACATTAACATGCAGGTCCTGCTGGGTCAGTGCAAGCCTTAGAGAGACTTCACAGTAATGTCTGTTCTGAGATTTCTTAGGGAAAAAACCCGCCCTGCTCTCCCCTTGAGGAGCATCTTTTTCCCCATACCTTTAAATCCCAGTGGTGGTCCCATTACAGTAGCATGTGAACATCAATTCTTCCTTACAAGACATGAACCATTCTAGGTCAGGGGTTGGCAACTTATGGGTTGTGGAGCCACTGGATCTGGTCTGCAGAAAGCAGGCCTTATGGGGGTGTCTGCTGGCGATATGCTGCGGCTGGGAGAAGCAGCGGTGATAGTGGGCATTTCTCCCTCGCTGCAGCAGGTAGAAGTGGCTACAGCCAGATCCTAGCACCGGCCTGTCTTGGACCCAAGCTGGGTCATTGCAGCCTGCAATCAGAAAAGGTTGCTGGCCCCTAGATTCTAGGTCATCACTTTTAAACAGGAAAGATGCTTCCATTTCCTCAAAGACACCTGATGTGTCAGTTGCAAATTATATCCTGCCAAGGTTAGGAATGAAACTTCATCTCGTTGCATCATGGCTTTCTGTTACAACCACTCCCAGCTTTGGGTCAAGCGAGTTTTGCAGTATAAATATCCAGCGGGTGCCTTTGTAGAGCCTGCAGCACGGGGCACCATGTTCAAGTTGGTGTGCATCACCCTGCTCCTGGGCTGTGGTAAGTCTTTCACTTATAGTCTCTGCTTTTTGGAAGAGGTGCTTTCCAAATACAGAAGAATGGCAGTATAGCGGGTGCTAGGGGAAGCAGAGGCAGTAACTTTCAGACTCTGGAGCTCAGTCTCTGGAGCTCTGCTAAGCAGCAGCTCTGCAGAAAAGGACTTGGGGGTTATAGTGGACAATAAGCTAAATATAAGCCAACAGCATGGGCTTGTTGTGAGGAAGGCTAATAGCATCCTGGGCTGCATTAGCAGGAGCACTGCCAGCAGAACAAGGGAAGCAATTCTTCCCCTCTATTCAGCACTGGTGAGGCCACATCTGGAATATTATGTCCCGTTTTGGGCCCC